ATGAGGGGCCCTCTCAGCAACTCAAGATTCCAAACTTGAGATACCAACGCTCAACACTCTAGAAATTCATGGAGCTTCTGAAACTGTTGATAAAAAAAATTTAACTCCACTATTTAAGAACTTTCGAAATCCAAGGTGAAGCTCCAACATTCTACACACACAAAAATAAGCTATAACTTATAACTCCTTAATTTTATTTTTCTTACAAAAATATAATAAGATAAAGTAAATAGCATGGGCGGTTTATAAAATAATTTTATTTTAATAAATAAATAAAAATACAACAAACTGATTTTGTATGCTTACGGAAATTCGTGATCTCATGTAGATTCACTTACATGTGATGCTTTAAAAAAAACAGACAACTCATTATTATTATTCTTAATTAAAAAAAAAATAACCCACAATACTTAGACCATGAATAAACTACAAGCTATATAAAAAGACAGCTGGAATAACACTGATTGTGACGTAATTCAATTACTCAATCATGAGAAAATAAATACTATATGACACTTTTTTTTTAACTCGGATTTTTAATCGTGAATACCCTCTATGTATGAGAACTACTTGCTATGAAATACCATTAGAGGCTAAAATGGAATGTTGTTTTTAGATAACAACCCTAAGTACTTTCTTAATGAAATAGAAGACCTAACTCAAGAAATAGGCACTCGAATAAAATTTAATCTGAATAACTCGTAATAACACAAAAGTTTTACGAGTTAAGTACATATTACTCTTACTCTTACATGACTTTTCTATCTAACCAATACCAACAATACTGCAATATATTTTCACATAAATAACTTTTAACATAAATAAGTACTTACTTGGAAGATGACGAGCACGTGTACGGTGACCAATGAAGTTACGGGACAACCCGGGCTCTGATACCAAACTTGTAACGCCCCTCTCAGGGTAAAAGGAATCGTTACACTAGCATACTACTTTACAAAAAAATAAACTGTAATATAACGGCCGTTTGTTTAAGAAATAACCCTGATAAAATCTCAAATATACCTAAGATGTAACTCCAAATAAAACTCATTAAAATTCTAGTTATCACTAGCAAATGTGACAACCACCTGGATCCAGGAATTTATTCAAACTTCAAACAATAGATAAAAAAAGTAATAATAATAATAAACTCCTTAGAACAATATCTAAAATAATGAGACATAATAATAGCTAGCTGGAAGCCACCATGGTCGTCCCCGTCAACTCATCTTGGCACGCGTTCCACTCTCTCATCACCTTCATAGGCCTTGGCCTTACCTTTAGTATCTGTACATGCGAAAAAAAGAAACTGATAAGCTTTACGCTTAGTAAGTCACTATGGATCCACAAAAATATCTAGAAGTCTATGCCAATTTATCAATAGATAAAATTTAGGCTATAAGCATGCACTGAACAAACAACTAACACATAACTTCTCAATTACATTCTGAGAGAGATCTCAAAGGAAAAAATATTTTCTAAAATATTTTTCTCAAAACTGCTAGAGATCTCAAAATTTATTTTTCTAAAAACATCTCTGTAAAACTCTCTGAAAGAGATCTCAAAAACTTTCTGTAAATCTTTCTGAAAGAGATCTAATAAACTTTCTATAAACTCTTTGTGGCTAATTTTAACTGTGGGCCCGTGATATGTACTCAATGGCGCCAATCCGACAGCTCAGGGGAGCGACCCACTAAACATATCGGACTATCTAAAACTAAAACTGCTAATCTGAGGGATCTAGTTCCCGAGTACATATCACTTAATCTTTCACTTTAAGTATTAGTTCTTCTTATGGTGACGTTTGACTAAACATCATTAAATCTGGAAACGAAAGTACTAACAAATCTTGACTATGCCAGATAATAAACATAACTTAATTTAGCAATAAAATAACTCATCACATAATTCACATAGTTCACATAATAGCAAATAGTCTAAAATTATCTATTAAAAATCAACCAGACTTCTTTCTTTTATTTGGTTGAACAAACATGTACAGGTGGTAGTGAACTTACCTGCTAACGTAACAGTTGAACTCAAAATACTCAGATAAGTGTGGCACCTTGATAACGTCTTCCAGTAAGCTCTTCTCTTAAACCATCTTTAATTAAATGTAATAATAAACACAAATCTTTATTTTCCATATAAAGCTAATTGGCTAGAAAAATTTTCAACTACTACAATTAAAAGTGGAAAGGCTGTGCTAACTCAAACATGAGTTCGAGTCATAAAAATTCAGGATAATAGAATCCACAAATTCTGGACTGGTCATAAAACGAGATTTTACAAATTAAAGATCTACAAGTTACACCTAATCCAATTTAGGCATTAATTTGGTAAATGAATAAATAAAATTATGCTTGGTAAAAACCCAAATCTGCCCAAAACTAACTGAGTTTATTCTACTGCATAGTTTTACTTGAATTTATAAAAAGAATCCCAACTGAAGCTATATCCACGATAACCCAATGAACTACTCAAGTTTGACTTTAAAGCTATGCTTTTCAAAACAAACATGCTTTCAAAACTGACGTGAAGTCCTTTTAAATTTAAAAGAGTTGCAGCAGCCAATCCAATTTGATGTTATGCTTAAGAAAAAAAATAGATCAATGTTTTAAAAGTCATATGCTCTAAGGAAAACAAACAAATAAAGAAGTTGTCTGCCCAACAATTATTGAACGAAGGTTGGAAGCACTCCTTCAAATTTAAATCATTATAAAATCAAACCAAGGAAAGATTTCGACTTACAAGTTTGAAAGGTTGATTGAAGGAACGATTGAGGGAGATGAAACTTATGTGCAGGGAGGCCGAACAAGTGACGCACGGCTTTTCTTTAAAGCTGATATGTATATACGTATATATATCTTTCTAGGGTTTAGTCAAAAACAAATTTATTTGGGCTCAATTAACTGATTCGGCCACTTAACCTTTTAAGACTGATTTGAACTTTTGAAGACTAGTTCTGATCCAACTGAACTATTTATTTTCTCCCTTTCGGAATAAACTCATTAAACTATAGAACAATATTTACTTATTCATTCATTTATGATTTTGATTTATAGAGCCTACCGGTCAACGTTACCTGCCACAAACAAAACATGTTAAATAATATATCACATTATTCATAGAAGAAACTTATTTAACTTACTAAAGTCAATAGTAAAGATTAATGTAACTAGCTCGCTAAAACGGGGTGTTACAGTGGGGTGCCCGGTTGATGCGCAAATGCCACAAGCTTTGACCTCCTGAGTTTTTGGTTTTAGAAGGAGTTCTTTTACCAAAGAAGTCAGGCCGGCAACTTGACTTTCTAGAGCGGTGGTGCTGGACTCCGCAGCAAGAACTCTTCGGGTTGATGATTTGCGGCTGAATTGCCGTGAGTTCTCGGCCAACTCCGAAATTAAGCTTGTCGCTTGTAAAGGAGTTTTGTTAACAATGCCACCTCCACAAGCGGCATTCACCATTCTTCTATCATCATCAACAAGACCATCATAAAAGTATAAGATGAGGTCTTGTTCAGTGTATCCGTGATAGGGGCAGCTAGCACATAGCTTCTTAAAACGCTCCCAATATTCATACAATGTCTCATCTTCTTTTTGTTCAATGTTGCTTATTTGTTTTTTCAAAGAAGATGAGACAGAGGCGGGATAGTACCTTTCCAAGAAGTATTTTTTCATAGCTGCCCATGTGTTGATACTTCCCGAAGGAAGATAGAAAAGCCAATCTTTTGCGGTGTCCTTCAAAGAGAATGGAAAAGCCCTCAATTTTATTTGCTCTTCCGTGACACCATTTGGGCACATGCTTGTGCACACAATATGAAACTCCGACAAGTGTTTGTTCGGATCTTCGCCTCTTAGACCATGGAAAGATGGTAGCAGATGGATGAGCCCAGATTTTAGCTCAAATGTATTACCTTCATCAAGAGTGGGGAAGGTAATACACAATGGTTGTTGATTTAGATTAGGAGCGGTGAGCTCCCTTAAGGTCCTTGTCTCGAGAGCCATGTGGAATGACTCTTCGGATTCGCTAGAGCTAGAGCTAGTATTTGAGGATTCCTCCGAGGGTGTGTGCGGAAATAAATTTCTCAACCTCTCGAAGGCTTGTTCTATTTCGGGGTTTGTTTGGTAAGTAAGTTCGTTTATAGAACGGGTTTTTACCATATACTCGTGAAAGCTCAGAAATAGAAAAAGTAAGAACTCTTTATATTTTATTTATTTAATTTTTTTATTTTTGTTTTTCTTGAATTAAATTGAAAAGAAAAATGATTGCCTTTCCCCGGCAACGGCGCCAAATTTGACGTGCACTTGTCGTGGTGTGCACTCAAAATAATAAATACAATACAACACTAATACGTAGTATAGTGAAGTAAGGTTCGTATCCACAGGGAAAGGAATACTTTTCTTTTTATAGAACCAGTGACAAAATGGGGGGTTTTAGTTTGATTTGGTTTAATAAATTAAACACGAAGATGAACGAGTTATGTGGTTTAATTAATGAGAAGAAGACTTGGCTTTGCTTTTATCCACTTAATGAAATGTTCGTCGATCCCGGTTATATCTTTAACTATCTTCCTCTCGAATACTCAATCGAGGAGTATATCCAGTTCATCGAGGGTAGTTATTAATAACGAGACGCGTTCATTAATAAAACTTACTACCGAGTCAATATAGAACAAGCGCCGTATATTAACTTGATAGTAGCAATAAAATCAAGATGAAAACGATTGAGATTGATAACCTCAACACAAGCAGTTTATTGGTTTAATCAATATAATTAATTCCCCTTGGCTTATTAATCATGAGAAGCATGCATTAACAACCCAAGTTTACTACCATTGAAAGAACCGAATTAATAACAAGCGTATTAACCGATTGATTCTAGTAATAATTAATATATGAAACAAAACTAGTTGATCCTTTAAGTAATGTTCAAAATATTAATATGAAATATGACTAGGAATTAATTAATACTCAAGGAAGAATATTAAAGAAGATGAATCCTACTATAGTTAATATCAAGATGTTAACTAATTGTCATCTTAGTAACACTCCCCAATATTAACATAGAGGAAGAAATAGCTATTACTATAATTAATGTCAAGATGTTAACTAATTGTCATCTTAGTAACACTCCCCAACATTGATATAGAAATAGTATTTAAAGGAAGAATTAATATTCAAGGAAGAAGATTAAAAAGAATAACTCACAACTTACAAATTCATTAAGCTTCAAAGTAGCAAAACCAAGATGGAAGAGTTTAGCTCCTCATTTGGAGACTAAACATGATAGAAAATATAAAGAAAACACTAATCTAAACTGAGCTAAAGAGTATATGTGAATTGGTGATTTTATTGTGAAGGAAAGGGGTGTATTTATAGGCTTTTGGGAGCTGCAGGGTCTGATACCCGACCGGGTATATAGGATACCCGACCGGGTATCTTAGGAAATTGCCCAGAAAGCCACTTTTCTGGGCATACCCGATCGGGTAAGGGTATATACCCGATCGGGTATGTGACAAATCTTTATGAAAATTTGCTCCCACGATCATTTGTCTTCGGATTTGATTTGGACAGTCGAATCAAGCAATTACCCGATCGGGTATAGGCAATACCCGACCGGGTACATGAGTATTTTTTCCAAATCAAAATCTTTCTTGCCTCCTTGCACTTTCCTTGATCTTTTAAGGTCCAATCTTGATCCCTTGGATGATTTTTGACCTGTTTAGCTCAGAAAAATCCTAATCTAACTAAATTACAAATAAAAAATGAAAATAAAGTATTACACCAAAAGTGTGTAATTTTCACAACTAGAACTAATAAAAACTAGTTAAAAATAAAAACATACAATCGGAAATTACATGAATATCAACTCCCCCACACTTAGCTTCTTTACTCGTCCTCGAGTAAAGTCAAATGTTTAATAGTTCCAAGTCCTCAAGAGTTTAACAATCAGCAAGAAGAAGCAAAAGACCACCAAGGATAAAACTTGAGTTTTACATTGAGTGTTTAGCTCAGAGAACAATATCTTCTTGGGTTTCATGGCCTTCTATGCTCATCTCTTTTCTTCTCCTCTTTTCATGTTCAAGAGATTAAATGATGTCCTGTAAAAACAAATATATCTCTCATATCTCTCATTTTGCCTAGGAGCCTTTTCAGGTTTTGATCCTAGCAACTCTTTTTATTTTTCCATCCTTTCCACTCACTCATTTTTATAAGCCCTTTTTGCTTAGATTGCCCATTTTTGGGTTTTCAACCTAACTAGCATTTCTTTTTTTTTTTTTTTTTTGTTTTCTTTTTTTTTTTCTTACTTTTTTTTTGTGAAGAAAATAATGCCAGTTACAAGGTATCAACTTAAGTACGTATCAATGAGTGACTCCCCCTCACTTAGCTCGAAGCACTGTCCCTAGTGCTCGTCTCCGTCATGACCGGGCTGAAACGGACATCCTCGTAGCCTTGAATTGTCCCTTTGCATTTGAACTTTCGGCCCTATCCCTCTTTGGTGCCATTGATAGTATTTTTGGAACTTGAATTCGGATTTCGGGGGTAGGGTTTCGGGTTTGTGTAAATATGTAGGGAGATGAAGTTTTTTTGGGTGTTGGATTGTAGAGGAGAGTAAGGGGAGTGTTTTGGTGGTGGTTTGGGTGGATTTGGGTGAGTAATGAGGGTGTAATTGAAGAAATAAGGTTTGGGAATGGAGGGTTTTTAGAGAGGAGGTTTGAATTTGGGGAGGAATTTGGGGAAGATGACTGATTTTGGGCGTTCGGATTGGGTTCAAAACTTGTGTACCCGACCGGGTAGCCCGACATACCCGATCGAGTATGGTCGTTTTTGCTCTTGTTCCGGAGTCGGGCCCGATCGAGTAGGGGTGTTACGCGATCGGGTAAAATGCGCCGTGGAAATTTCCAGCCTTTAAAATTAATTCACCCGACCGGGTATATGGGTGTACCCGATCGGGTATTTCGCTGTTTTTTCAAAAAATGCTCCAGGGGTGGCGTACCCGGTCGAGTATTGGGTGTACTCGATCGGGTAATTTGCGACGAACTAAATTCCAGCCATTTTCTTAAAATATACCCGACCGGGTTCAAGGTATACCCGATCGGGTATCTGTTGATTTTTAAACCTGCCCTCGATCGGGTATCGGGTACGTGACCCAAGAAATGCTTTAATAAGAGGTACCCGACCGGGTGGGGTGTCGTTACCCGACCGGGTACTTCACCCTGGAGTTTGATTTCGTTCATTTTTGGCATGGATCAGACCGGGTAAGTGATTATGCCCGATCGGAGGTTTTTCCAGGCTTTGAAAACCTGATTTTCCCTTATCTTCTTTTGAGAATTTTCCTCCCGTTCTCTCAAAGTTGACATTCGAAAACAAGAATTTGAAAAGAAAAATTAAAAAATGCGTACCTTGGCTTGGGTTGCCTCCCAAGAAGCGCCTTAGTTAACGTCGCGGCACGACGTTTTTATTTTTTTTATTTTTCATTTTAAGTGGGATCATGAACATCCCTTTTCTCCTGCTTCAAGGCCCTGTTTGGCCGTGTTTCAATTTTATTTTTCGACCTTTTCCAGTAAGGTCGAACTTTCGCTCTCATTACCCCCTCAACCGCAGGTGGTATTGGTTGATAAGTTGATAACTCCCTTTCAACCGCAGATGATTCCCCATGCTTAGTTCCCTCGTCTTCTTGAAAAATTGGGATTTTAACAGACTCCTTCAAAAACTTTGGTTCTTGTGATTCAAAAATATTTAAAGAGCAAAGAGACTGATCTTTAATTTGTTTTTTTGTAGAGTCAAAGATATTGAACTCTACTTTTTGGTCATCGAACTCTAAAGTTAATGAACCACTAGACACATCAATTTTAGTTTTTGCAGTTTTTAAGAAGGGTCTACCCAAAAGGATGGGTGTTGCTTGATCAGTATCGCCCATTTCAAGGACATAGAAGTCGACAGGGAAAACCATATTTTCTACTTCTACTAGCACATCTTCTATCACACCCTTCGGGTAAGTAGTAGAACGATCCGCTAGTTGAATCACTACATTGGTTTGATGTAGTGGACCGAGTTGTAGGGACTTATAAACAGAGTAAGGAATGACATTTATAGATGCCCCTAAATCCAACAAGGCTTTAGAAAATGTGGTGCTTCCTATCTTGCAAGGGATAGTGAACATGCCCGGGTCGCTACATTTTTCGGGAAGTTTCTTTTGAAATAGAGCCGATACATGTTCACTAACATTGACTTCTTGTTTTTCTTTCAATTTATTTTTTGTTTTTGTTTTGCATAATTCTTTTAAAAATTTAGCAAAACGGGGAACACTTTTAATTGAATTAAGGAGCGGAATGTTTACCTCACACTTGGCGAAAGTCTCATAGATGTCAGCATCTTTGTCAAGATTCCTTGTCTCCCTCAATGCCTCGGGGAATGGGGCCACTAGTTCATATGATGAAGGTGGAGGAAGTTTTGCCTTTGTGATTCCCTTCTCAGAGTGAGTTTCCTCTTCATGATCAACCTCATCAATCTCTTGATCGTTATTTTCCACCTCCTTCAACATGATTGCATTCACATGTTGTCTCGGGTTTTGCTCCGTTTGAGATGAGAGTTTACCCGAGTCCTTTGCTTCCAGTCGGCTCACAACATTTGAAATTTGGCTGACTTGTGTTTCCAAATTATGAATGCTTGACTTTGTCTCATGTTGAAATTGAATCATGGTTTGTTGAAATTCTCCCATGTTTTGTTGCATGGCAACCATGTTTGAGGTCAAAGTTCGGATCATGTCATCAGTTGACATATTAGATTGAGAATTTGAACCTTGGGTGTTGAAGTGTGGTTGAGAAGATGAGTTGGCTTGTTGAGGGTTCCCATATCTCAAATTTGGATGATCCCTCAATCCCGGATTATAAGAATTTGAGAAAGGATCATACCTTCTTTGTTGATGTCCTTGGAAACCGAGGGCGTTGACTTGCTCTTCTTGGAGTGATGGACATGAATCAGTGGGGTGCCCGGTTGATGCGCAAATGCCACAAGCTTTGACCTCCTGAGTTTTTGGTTTTAGAAGGAGTTCTTTTACCAAAGAAGTCAGGCCGGCAACTTGACTTTCTAGAGCGGTGGTGCTGGACTCCGCAGCAAGAACTCTTCGGGTTGATGATTTGCGGCTGAATTGCCGTGAGTTCTCGGCCAACTCCGAAATTAAGCTTGTCGCTTGTAAAGGAGTTTTGTTAACAATGCCACCTCCACAAGCGGCATTCACCATTCTTCTATCATCATCAACAAGACCATCATAAAAGTATAAGATGAGGTCTTGTTCAGTGTATCCGTGATAGGGGCAGCTAGCACATAGCTTCTTAAAACGCTCCCAATATTCATACAATGTCTCATCTTCTTTTTGTTCAATGTTGCTTATTTGTTTTTTCAAAGAAGATGAGACAGAGGCGGGATAGTACCTTTCCAAGAAGTATTTTTTCATAGCTGCCCATGTGTTGATACTTCCCGAAGGAAGATAGAAAAGCCAATCTTTTGCGGTGTCCTTCAAAGAGAATGGAAAAGCCCTCAATTTTATTTGCTCTTCCGTGACACCATTTGGGCACATGCTTGTGCACACAATATGAAACTCCGACAAGTGTTTGTTCGGATCTTCGCCTCTTAGACCATGGAAAGATGGTAGCAGATGGATGAGCCCAGATTTTAGCTCAAATGTATTACCTTCATCAAGAGTGGGGAAGGTAATACACAATGGTTGTTGATTTAGATTAGGAGCGGTGAGCTCCCTTAAGGTCCTTGTCTCGAGAGCCATGTGGAATGACTCTTCGGATTCGCTAGAGCTAGAGCTAGTATTTGAGGATTCCTCCGAGGGTGTGTGCGGAAATAAATTTCTCAACCTCTCGAAGGCTTGTTCTATTTCGGGGTTTGTTTGGTAAGTAAGTTCGTTTATAGAACGGGTTTTTACCATATACTCGTGAAAGCTCAGAAATAGAAAAAGTAAGAACTCTTTATATTTTATTTATTTAATTTTTTTATTTTTGTTTTTCTTGAATTAAATTGAAAAGAAAAATGATTGCCTTTCCCCGGCAACGGCGCCAAATTTGACGTGCACTTGTCGTGGTGTGCACTCAAAATAATAAATACAATACAACACTAATACGTAGTATAGTGAAGTAAGGTTCGTATCCACAGGGAAAGGAATACTTTTCTTTTTATAGAACCAGTGACAAAATGGGGGGTTTTAGTTTGATTTGGTTTAATAAATTAAACACGAAGATGAACGAGTTATGTGGTTTAATTAATGAGAAGAAGACTTGGCTTTGCTTTTATCCACTTAATGAAATGTTCGTCGATCCCGGTTATATCTTTAACTATCTTCCTCTCGAATACTCAATCGAGGAGTATATCCAGTTCATCGAGGGTAGTTATTAATAACGAGACGCGTTCATTAATAAAACTTACTACCGAGTCAATATAGAACAAGCGCCGTATATTAACTTGATAGTAGCAATAAAATCAAGATGAAAACGATTGAGATTGATAACCTCAACACAAGCAGTTTATTGGTTTAATCAATATAATTAATTCCCCTTGGCTTATTAATCATGAGAAGCATGCATTAACAACCCAAGTTTACTACCATTGAAAGAACCGAATTAATAACAAGCGTATTAACCGATTGATTCTAGTAATAATTAATATATGAAACAAAACTAGTTGATCCTTTAAGTAATGTTCAAAATATTAATATGAAATATGACTAGGAATTAATTAATACTCAAGGAAGAATATTAAAGAAGATGAATCCTACTATAGTTAATATCAAGATGTTAACTAATTGTCATCTTAGTAACACTCCCCAATATTAACATAGAGGAAGAAATAGCTATTACTATAATTAATGTCAAGATGTTAACTAATTGTCATCTTAGTAACACTCCCCAACATTGATATAGAAATAGTATTTAAAGGAAGAATTAATATTCAAGGAAGAAGATTAAAAAGAATAACTCACAACTTACAAATTCATTAAGCTTCAAAGTAGCAAAACCAAGATGGAAGAGTTTAGCTCCTCATTTGGAGACTAAACATGATAGAAAATATAAAGAAAACACTAATCTAAACTGAGCTAAAGAGTATATGTGAATTGGTGATTTTATTGTGAAGGAAAGGGGTGTATTTATAGGCTTTTGGGAGCTGCAGGGTCTGATACCCGACCGGGTATATAGGATACCCGACCGGGTATCTTAGGAAATTGCCCAGAAAGCCACTTTTCTGGGCATACCCGATCGGGTAAGGGTATATACCCGATCGGGTATGTGACAAATCTTTATGAAAATTTGCTCCCACGATCATTTGTCTTCGGATTTGATTTGGACAGTCGAATCAAGCAATTACCCGATCGGGTATAGGCAATACCCGACCGGGTACATGAGTATTTTTTCCAAATCAAAATCTTTCTTGCCTCCTTGCACTTTCCTTGATCTTTTAAGGTCCAATCTTGATCCCTTGGATGATTTTTGACCTGTTTAGCTCAGAAAAATCCTAATCTAACTAAATTACAAATAAAAAATGAAAATAAAGTATTACACCAAAAGTGTGTAATTTTCACAACTAGAACTAATAAAAACTAGTTAAAAATAAAAACATACAATCGGAAATTACATGAATATCAAAGCACAAATCACGATTTTGAATATTAGACTTCTAATACTCAATATAATAGGTTTGATGCTCATTAAAAGTTCATTAATGCTCATTCAGCAGAAACCGTGAATTTCATCTCAATAACGAAGGTTTGATGCTCAATTGAAATGTTGTGATGTTCAACTAACAAAACAACTAAAAAAATTCATTAATACTCATTTTGTATGTTACGTATGCTCATCGGGTACTGATGTTATGCTCATTTTGTAAATGTCATATCAATGCATTTTTAAAAGTACTATTCTAAATTACATTTACATAATGGAATTCATAGGAGTTGATTATAAAGATAATGTAATAAGTTTTTATAAAAGAAAAAATAACAAAAAAAAGAAAGTGAATTAGAAGTTATGAAGCAGAGATCATGATTCTGAATATTGGACTCCTAATTCTCAATATAAAAGGTTTGATGCTCATTAAAAGTTCATTATTACTCATTTCTTACTAATGTAATGCTCATTTTTACAATTCATATCAACGCATATTTCAAAAGTATCAATAGTGGAGGTTGAAAAATCAATTAAAATGTCATGATGTTCAACTAACAAATGTTACGATTTTCATATCAATGTGTACTTTGTAAGTTATGTATGTTCATTTGGTACTCATGTTATGCTCATTTTTACAATGTCATATAAATATAATTTTCCTTTTATAAAAACTTATTAAATTATATTTCTAATCAACTCCTATGAATTTCAATATGTGAACCTAATGTAAAATAGTACTTTAAAGAAAATATGTTGATATGACATTTAGAAAATAAGCATAAGATCAATACCAGATAAGCATGCACATCTTACAAAATGTTCCTAGATATGAAAATCGCAAAGTTTGTTACTTTGAATAACAACATATTCATTGAGCATCAAATATCATATATTGAGATGAAAATCATTGTTTCTGTTAAATGAGCATTATTAAACTTTTAATGTGCATCAGACCTATTATGAGCATTAAAACCATTTTGATGAGCATCACGCTTATTAGGAACCTAACACTATATAAAAAAAATTATAAATATATTTATATAAATTAATACTATCATTCATAGATCAAATAAATACTTCAAAAATATGAATTACTCTTTTAATGAAGTAATAATGAGAAAAGGCAAAAGAATAGTTAATATTATAATTACTATTAATAATACGCAGTATGAAACTATATAGGATAAGTAAGATAAAAGAACTAAATATTACAACAAGACGACTTGGTGAGATGGTTGGAAGATAGCATATGCTACTATTGGTCACGGGATCGAATCCCGTCGGGGTTCTTAATTTTTTTGTGAAGGAATCCAGTTCCCTACTACCAGTCAAATTTATTAATTGGGCCGGATGTACGTACATCCGGGTGTACGATATAGGGACTCATGCAACCACAAGATCATTTATATAGCAAGATTTAACACAGATAAAAAGTAGTTCCGTTCAGCTGATCTGGACATTTTTTATCTGAAAATTTTAAAATCTGGTCTAAACTAATATGATTTTCTTTATCTCGTTTAATATGAAAATGACTGATCTGGTTGAATCTTTCTGAATAAATTAAGATAGATGGAGTATAATACCCACATGCATTATTAATTTATTATTGCACAACATAATAATCCAAGATGAATATGAAGAGATCAGACTAATGAAGAACTAATTGATGATACATATATTTTATTTGGACCTTGATTACATTTGGTCCATACATTTGAAAATATTTGATCTTAAAAATGTTCTCATCAAGCATTTAATTTGTGAAGGCATCACGGAATTGCACATGCAGGTTTCTATTTGTTCTTATGTGTTTGTTATTCATTAAAAGTTTGGTTTTCAATATATGGTTTTGGTTTTTTATTGGATTTTAATGTTAATTTAATGCTTCTTTAATTTCATGTTCATTATCATTATATCTATTTAATTGGAAGATATTCTTCTTATTTACAATCATTTTTCTGAATAAAGATTTGGTTATATAAAAAAAAATAAAGATTTGATTTTTAATGAACAACAAATTTTAAAAGAAACAAACACATGAAATGGATACGACTACTTATATAGAAAAATAATGCTTGGATAAAGTCAATAGAAACTACAATACTAGATATAAATTCAAATAGAAGTAAACTGAATTAATAGACGAATAACCTCATGACTGAACATTTGTTATTTTAATAAATACTCTCTCCATCCCACAATACTTTGTTAATTTTCTTCTCTGATTTGTCCATAAAACTTTGTCACTTTCTTTTTTAAACCAATAATGAGTTTGTAACTTTATTTATTTTTATCTCGTTTGCACAAACTTCAACAATACAATTTTTACATTTCCAATTCCACACCCAATATTAAGTTGACAAAGTTGAATAGGATGTAGGTAATATGATAAAGTAGTTATATATAGCCATTGGTAGAAGTATTGGCAATGTCACCATGCACCTCATCTTCATTATTTTAATTTTTAATATAGCATTTTATTTTATTATTCTTCCAAATATATACTACGTATTTTATTTTTAGTTTTTTATTATCTAAGTCTTATACCTCTCTTCTAATGGGACAAGGATCTTAAGCTCCGGATTCCATCCTAAAAGGTCAATCTGATAAGAGAAGAAATATATCTTAATAGTGTTATCATTTTTTCATCTGGATCGTGCTGTCATTCAATTTTTTCATCAGTTTGTCATTGTCATTTTTAATTGTGTCATCATTTTTCATAGCTAGAGGTCCACATCATGGATTGATTTGACTCTGATACCATGTTAAGATCAGACTCGGGATTCCATCCTAAAAGGTCAATCTAGCTTGATCGAAGGAGTAATCAACATATTATTATAACATGTAATGCCTTCACAAATATCTGACGTGGGAATTCAACTGCTGGGTGAAGGTTGGTGTCACATGACTCACATCTTAATAAGACAATGTTATCTTTATATATTGTGTTCGTAAAATGAACAGCTATATGTGATTAGCCAATAGTGATATTTCTTGGAGATAATTAACTCATACGGAGTACTACCTAATACCTATTCTATTAATAAATAAGTTTCGTTCGTAAAAAATACGTACCCCTAAATACCCATTCGCCACAATAATCTTGATCTTTTTTTTGTGATTATTGTTATTATCAGAACCAAATCGATTCTAGCTTTAAAAAAACCAATTCTATTCTAGACAAATAATGAAAAAGAGAAAGAGGTAGACAAAACAATGGAAGAGTATCTTTTACGTATTTTTCTTCACGTCTCTTCCTCATTGTTTCTCCTTGAGCATTGGAGAGGCCATTATGCCCAAAGGGAAGAAGCGCACACCACCTCTGCCAATACGTGCGCTTCTTCTCCTTCCATCGAATTCATGCATCTATCCATTCTTAATCAATCTTTTAATTAACACCGTTTGAAATATTTATTTGATTAATTAATTAATTCTCGGGTGATCATAGCTGGCTCGGAGAAGCTTGATCGATAATGAGGCTGTGGAAATTGGCTTTTGGTGCGCTCAAAGATCAAAACAGCATATTATTAGCTAGTCTTGCAAGAAGAACCGCCCTCCGACGCCCTGAAATTGAAGCCGCCGTCATCAAAGCAACCACGCACGACGAATACCCTATCGAACAATTGTATGTCGATAGGGTATGCGACTGGATCCGTCTATCTCCCGTCGCGCATCTCCGAATCGTCGTGTGGGCGATCGCGACCCGATTGGAAAAGACGCGGAGTTGGGTTGTCGCCCTCAAGGGGCTTATGCTCATGCACCGTATCCTCCGCTTGCACGTTTCCTCCGCTGATGGAACCGGTCGGTTCCCGTTTGACCTCTCTGGGTTCACGGACGGGCATTCCAGTCCCGAGAGAATGTGGGCCCAAAATGCGTTCATCCGCTCCTATTTTGCATTCCTGGACCAGAAATCCTCAACGGACAAGGATGCCCGTCCGTGTGGGGCACGTGGTGCACATGGCGGGTTGATCAGGGCTTCGGAGTCCAATTATTCTCCGAGCCCAGTATCAACCGCCAGTAGCAGCCGTGAAACAACTTCGAAAAAAACCCACCTAAGCCTCCATCTCTCCTCTTTCTCAATCTCCGAAGACCTCGCTGCTCTTGAGAGTCAGCAAAGGTTGCTCGACGCTTTGCTGCAAGTAATGCCGCTTTCGTCTGAGCTAGCGGCGTTACCGCTCGTCGTAACGGCCATGGAAATGGTTGTTTTCGAGGTCTATGACGTTTACCGTCGGATATGCAGCGGAGTGGGGAAGGTTTTGTTGCGGATATACACGGCAGAGAAGGCGGAGGCTATGGTGGCGCTACGGGTGGTGAAGAGAGCCACCCTCCAGGACGGAGATCTAGTCGCATTCTTCGAGCACTGCACCGGACTCGGGTTGATCCACAACCTCCAATGCCCAAAAGTGAATGAAATCCCAGAGGGCGACATCCAGGAGCTGGAGGATATCATCAATGGAACAGCTTCTTCTAACTTTTCCCCATCTTCCAATTCCAGCCAAAACAATAGTAATACTCGAAGGTTGGCGATCATGGAGGCTAGTCAAGGACAACGGCGGGAAGAAAGAGAGGAGCCGGCGGTGGAGGCGAAAGGCGGATTGCAAACAGTAATTATCACTGATCGTTGGGAGACATTTGATGATAAGCCTATTTTAGAACCTACTCCGCCGTCCATCACCACCGCACACGGTTGCGCTAACAGTAACTTTTGTGACAAGCAAGAACTGCCGGATCTCATAAGTTTCTAAGGAAATCTCAGTTTAGATATGTTGTTTACGTTCATATACCAAACTCTATAATACGAGTGCATGTAATTAAAAGTAGGGTGAGTTTTTGTACATTAAATACGGAGTATTTATTAGTACGCAAAAGTCAAATGCATGTGTATAGGGTAGGCATGGACCGGTCCCGGGCCGGGCCGCACTCCGGGCCGGTCCTGAGCAGACGTTTTGGGTTAGGCTTCGGGCCCGGAACTGGCCCGGGTAGCCACCGGGTCTGGGCCGGGCCGGTTCCGAACCGGTTTCCAGGCTTCTTCATTTTTTTGCTTTTCTAATTAACCCCCCCCCCCCAAACCCTCCAAATCACCCAGCCCAACCCGGGAAAAACAAAAAAAGTTGAAAAAAAGGCCCGAACCGAGCATGGCCCGGCCGGACCGGTTCAGCTTTTGGGCATCCCGGAACCGCCCCCGTAAATCCCTCGGGTCGGGCCCAGGCCCAGTACCGGTCAACCGGGCCGGTTCGGTCCCGCACAATAGCGGGCCGGGCCGGGCCGGGATGCGGACCGGGTCCACCACTAGTATAGGGCATCTCTCGCATTTGCATCCATTAAATTATTAAGAGATTAAGTTAGTGATGTGACGCATTACTACTTCTGAGATTATGATCACGTGAATGAATTTATTTGATTAAATAATTCGAGATTAAAATATGCATCCAAATTATCTCAATAATATTGTGAAACTAGAGTTAATTAATTAGTGTGATACTCATAAAAAGATATGATTATGTTTAAGATGATGAATGGTGTAATTTAAAACATGTGAAATTACTTTAAAAAAATCGATCTATGTATCATAAAAAATCTATTTATTTAACTTGCATGAATACGTAGATCAATGTCTTCTAGATGGAATCTATTGACATCGAGAATTTGTATATGTATCACACACCAGGCCCAAATTTTTGTTCCTCACGTTGGCTTTCCTCTTTCAAAGCATGTTTGGTAACACTAAGTTGGCTAAATTGACTGATTCTGTAACATTTGGGGTTCCATCCTAAAAGATCAATCTAATAGGAGGAGTATCTCAAAACCTTATATCGTGTTTTATTGTCTTAATGCTTTCCGGTGTGAGATGAATACTTTAATTTAACACGCCCCCTCAGGCCCAACCGGACTGGACAATATCGAGGTGTATAAACAGGCCAATCTGACTGATGGATTAATTATAAGGATCCAAACATATAATAAAATGGGAGAGATTGATTTTAAATGTAGAAGATGAATGTGTAATGTATTATGAATCAATATGGAATTAGGGTTACAATGTCTCCATAGGGAATATATATAGAGAGACCGGGTTGGGCTTTGAATCAGAATGGTGCCCCGGGCCCTGATGGTTTTAATGGAAAGTTTTTTAGAAAATGTTGGGAGATTGTAGGACCTGATGTTGTTCGAGCTGTGCAGGAGTTCTACCTTGGTCTTCCTATTCCTAAGGGCATGGCTAGCAGTCTTATTGCATTAATTCCAAAAATAGATAATCCTGCTAGTTTTGCAGATTTTAGACCTATATGTTTGTCTAATTTTGTTAATAAAGTGTGCACTAAAGTGGTGACTGCCAGACTCACCAAGATTCTGCCAAAGCTAATATCTGCTGAGCAAGCAGGTTTTATGAAGGGCAGAGATATTTCAGAACAAGTTCTTATTGCTCAGGAGATGGTTCATTCTCTAAATAAAAAGGTCAGGGGTTCTAATGTTATTATCAAACTTGATATGGCTAAGGCTTTTGATAGGCTTTCCTGGAAATTTTTGAAGGAGGTTTTGCTCAGATTTGGTTTTTCACAAAGCTTTGTTCAGATGGTAATGAATAATCTTGAAGCTACCTATTTATCTATTCTAATTAATGGTGTACCTCAAGGATTTTTCAAACCCAAGAGGGGGGTTAAGCAGGGTGACCCCCTATCACCATTTCTTTTCATCTTGGCCTCAGAGGCCTTTTCCAGGGGTTTAAAATGGCATATGCAGGTTGGGCTTATTAAGCCCTATTGGATGGGTTGCTTTGGATTTCCAATATCTCACCTCGGATTTGCTGATGATTTATTGATCTTTTTAAATGGAGAATCCAAATCCTTGTCTGAATTTAAAAAATTTATTGGATATTACCAATCAGCTTCTGGACAAGCTGTTAATCTCAGTAAAAGTTCCTTTGTAACTGGTAAGTCAGCTAGATCAAGACTCAAAAGCATCCACAATCTTCTTGGTATGCAGCATTCTGATCTCCCAATGAAATACCTTGGTGTTCAACTGCATAAAGGCATTAACAGGTACAATTATTGTGAAGATATCATAAGGCAGTTTGATAGAAAGCTCACACCTTGGAAAAGTAAAAATCTGTCTCAAGGAGGAAGAGTTATTTTAATTAAACATGCCCTGAGTTCAATTCCTTTACATACTTTAGCTGTGGATACCTTACCCAAGAAGATTATCTCTATTTTAGAAAGAAGAATGGCAAGTTTCTTTTGGGGATCTTCAAACAACAGAGGTCATTATCAATGGCTTAAATGGAGCAAACTATGTAAGCCAACAGATGAGGGGGGCCTTGGTTTCAGATCTTTAAAATCTTTGGAAAAAGCTTTTTCAATCAAGTTATGGTGGAAATGGAAGAAGGGAGGATCTCTTTGGTCTCAGTTTATGGATGCTAGGTATCCAAGAGGGTCAAATATGATACCAAAGGTGACTGATTCCCCTGTGTGGAGGAGAATTTGCTCAATCCACCCTATCGCCAGTCTAAACTGCTCTTTTGATCATGGAGGAGAAATTATGTGGTTACCTGAGGATGATGGCCTTTTTACACTCAAGTCAGCCTACACAGTGGTGAGGGAAGAAGGTCCAACAATTTTTTCATTTAGGCATGCTTGGCATCCAAAGCAACCTATGAAAATTAGGGTTTTTCAATGGAAAACTCTACATGGTGTCCTCCCCATTGCAGATAAATTACAGAGGTTTAATGTTATTCTTAGACCATCTATGTGTCCTTTATGCAGGAATGATGAAGAGACTTTAGATCATATTCTGTTTCAATGCGAAAAGATCCATTCAGTATGGCTCTACTTTATGGGAATACTTGGGGTTCCTAAAATTGACAAACACAGCTCAATAAGACAGGTTATGATGACCTGGTGGCTCAAAGCTGGTTCCAAACAGTTAACAGACATTTTCAAACATAATCTCCCAGGAATCATATCATGGCATGTGTGGAAAATTTACACAAGTATCATTTGGGGTTCATTAACTTCCTGCCCAGCGTCAGATAGTATTATTATACAAATAAAATTGTTTACTCAATTATGGTCAGCAAGCTTCTCAAACCTGAAGCTGCGCAGGGTGGAAGGAATTTTGTTCGAAGAAAATCTGATACCAAAAAACTTTAAATGTGAGGGCACGAGGCTGAAGATTACCAGGTGGTCTAAGCCGGAAAAAACATACAAAGTGAATGTAGATGCTCGGTTTATACCTGAAAGCTCTGGTGGTGGAGCAATTTTGCGGGATAAGCAAGGGTTGCTGGTTGCTGCGATTTCCTTTCCCATTGAGTCCTCTTCGAGCCTGGATGCAGAGATTAAGGCGGTGATGTTTGCGGTTCGTTGGGCGTTGGAGAAGGGTTACTTTGATTTCGAAGTTGAGACGGATTCATTTCTTGCAGTTCAATATCTTGCTCAACATAAGGAAGGAAGATGGAAAGTTATGGTTCAGGAAATGCTACAGCGATCGATTAGGAAAGCGGTGACCTTTACCCATACTTGGCGTGAAAATAATTGGCCTGCGCACTATTTGGCCCAAACTTCTTCGGCCCAAGTTTGTGTTTATAACAGGCCATCTGATCTACCTTTGTTGGCTAAAAAAGCTTATTTTATGGATTTTATGGGTTTGCCTTCTTTTAGAAGTTTCTGTTAATTTTTAATTGGGTCAGGTTCGGTCCCCCCAATTAGTCGTTTTTATTCTTTGAGTATTATGTGCATGTATTTTCAGAGGAATGCCTCTGAAGGGAGGTATTGGTTTGGTCCCCCTCTCTTTGTGTACTCTTCTTGTTTTAAATAAAATCCTGGCAAATGTTCCCCGGCATTTGCCCCACTGTTTTTGGTGGTTTGCCTACCGGGTTTAAAAAAAAAAAAAAAAAAAAAAGAGACCGGGTTGGGCCGCTAATATGGGCTCGACAGGCCCAAGTACATAAAAAAGGCTAATCTAGTACAATAATATGAATAATAATAATAGCCGCTAAGCGTGTGTGGGCCGCGGTCCGCTAAGCTTTTGAACATTCCCCCTGTGTTGATGATTAAGTCCTTAAGACTTGGTACTCATATAAATGGACATTTTTAGGACACTGTCATTAGCCAGAAATGGCTTTTAACAGGGCACTCCTAAATTAGGACACTACTAGTTAAGTAGGTAGCTCCTGTTTTTACTAGGACGCTGCATGGAAGCAGGGTGTTTCTGAGTAAAAATAAGACTCTACAAAACAGTAGGAGCTCCTTTTTGAACAGAGTCCATTCCTAGAGTTTTGTTGAGGGAAAGAAGTTCCCCCTCAACCTATAAAGCTCTTCTCAGAAGCAAGATGAATGCAGTGATGTGTGTCTGGTACTTTAGTGTAATTTCCCCTTACTTAAATGTCCTTCAATTGATATGTTTATCATACCAATTCACATATGATTAAGGAGAAATACCTATAAGTCTTCTGGCATAAATGTTCCTTTTTCAAGCCGTGTCAACATTCAGATCTTTGCTTTGAGAAATATATGCTAGGATCCTTCTTGTGGTTTGAAATATCTCATTGTTATAAACATCATCAAAATCTACTTCCAGTGCAATATGATCCTAACAATCTTGTGTGATGTTGTTGATGCTGGTTCAATCCTCCTTTTTGAGACAAAGTTCTCTGATTGGGGTTGAACATCATCTGATATCCACTTATACGTTTGGTCTGGATATGATGGTCTTTTCGGCTGATATTTGCTCCTGTCGATCCAGGGAGCTGATTTTTATCAGCAGATTTTCAGCAGGCAGCTGGGAGCTTGCTAATTTCCAGATTGAGAATTCCTTCCTTCCAGTGAGCACAATTTGATGACATCTTTAAGGACAT